CCTAAAAAAAGAGTTAGCGATACTATTACGACCTCTTAAGGGGGAGGAAGTCTTATAAGGTCGTTCTTATTATCGTCGCTAATAAAGGTAACCGTCTCGAATAATCTCTATGCGTAGCCTTTAAGGTATACTAGGAGAGGAGTATACCGGTGTATTTTCGTAGAGTATATATAGTATTTCTTCACCTAATTAGTCTAGCTATAATAAAGGTACTTATACTTCTTATTAGCGATATCGTGTATATAAGGGAGGTATAGCTTAGCACAAATACTACCGGGAGGGTACTTAGGAGGCCGATTACCCGCCGATTGCTTCTTTTTAAGCTGCGGTAAAGGCGTTAACGTAAACTATTATAGGGTTAGTATCGCTCTAAAACGTAAGAGCGTTATACCTATATCGTTATTAGCGGTACGCTTATTACTATTATTACCCCTATTATCGCTAAGGGCTAATACCGTCTATAAAAACAATATAAATTAGCGAAGAGTTCCTAATGAAAAGATTATAAGCGAGAGACGGCTTATCTTAAACAGGGAACTCTTTAACTAACCGAGTATTACTATTATTATCTAAGGATAGGTGATGTTAAAGGAATTATCGCTATAAGGAAGAACGAGTATATACGTAACCGCTATTACTATTATTATTATTATTAAAGGTAAGGAGGGGAATAGAGGAAGAGAGGGCCTATAAGGAAAATAGGGCCGATATATCTACGGATAGTATCTACGCGAGGGTGGCCTATATTACTATTTCGGGCACGTGAATAAAGGTTAGTAGGCTACCTAAGATTTCTTTAATATTAAGGTAAGGGCGAGGTAAGTTAAAGGGACGCGACTATTCCTTTATCACCGCGATATAAGGGGGAGCCGAACTATAACGGTAACGCGCGGTCACGTAACCCCTAGAGGGAGAGGGGGGGGATAGTGTTACGGGTTGACCCCGATATAGAGGATCCGGCTATACTCCGGATCTTCCTAACTACGCGCTTAGTTAACGGACCTATATCGCTAAGTTACCGCTACCTTATAGCTAGCTTAGCGCTATAGACTTTTCTCCTTTTTCTTCTTCCTTCCTTAATTCTAGATAATCTATTATTACGACCTTACTTAGTGCCACGACCTATAACTAGTCGTTTATAAATCCTCGAGGTACGCAGGGAGACTAAGGCTAAAGGGCTATAGCCGCCGTATAGCGGAAGCATATTAGCGCCCCTTTAGCCCCCGCTCTACTAATAAAGATTAGCTTAGGCTAACTTACGTAACTATTAGCCTACTATACTTCCCGTTAACTATTAGCCTAGAGGTAAGATCTAGATATATAATAGGGAAGAACCGGGGCTATATCGGCCCCGTAGCGGTACCTCTCCACCTAAGGAAGTGTATAGAGGCTTTCCCCGGGTTTTACCCGGGTTTTCCCCTTTATAGCTACCCGAGAAGGACTATATAGCCTAGGATGGCTCCTATAGATTAGTCAAGATAGCGGAGTAAGATCGATATTAATAATAACGAATATAATAGACTTATATAGGCCGCCTAGCGGTTCCGACTCTTCTAGATCGTGAAAATCGATAGCTAGGGCCTCTCCGGGCTTTAACGAGTAAAGGGATAGTATCTACCGGATCTATATAGGTACTTACGATTACCTATACGCCTTATAGTCGGCGGTACGCGATCTCTTTATTTTCACCCCCTAAATAGCGTTAACGATCCTCGCGAGAGCGTTAATACTATAATAGCCGAGGCATTTATACCACTATTACGTTATAGTCTTCTACGGTTACCGTGGTTATCGTGATCTTCTATACGGGTTATCACGGGGATACTAAGCCGAAACTGTAAACGCGGTAGCGGTAGCTTCCGCGCGTTCGATTTTATACTAGCCGTGGATATCTAGTAGCTTATAGATAGGCCGGTTAATAGCAGAGCTAATAACAGTATTGTTTATAGTATTCTAGCGATAGCCTTATAGGCGTAGCTAGCGTTCCGAGACGATATTAGTAACGAACTCCTTATAGTATATAACGTCACGGAGGCGTAGTAGCCTCTTCGTGCCCGATAAGGATTATATATGTAGTGTAACATCTCCGTATCCGAGGATAGAAGCCTTATAAGTACCTACCTAAAGTGATAATAGTCTATTAATAGGCGGTTTAATAGCCGTAAAACGGCCTTAATTATTAAAGACGTGGATTAACGATTCTAAGTCTAGGATCGCATAGTATAGTAATACTTTGGCTTAGTTAATAAAGAGGGACGCTCTCGATTATAATCTTAATAGTGTCGTCCTATAAGGGCGCGCTACCCCCCCTTCTTAGGAGGAGTGGACGCCTAGCCGTATACTCGTGGTGACGGAAAGGTCTTTTAAAACTATGCTTATGGGCGGCGTACTAATCCCCTGATTTTATAGTGTAGTAGTTATAATAGGCGTAGTATTATAGAGTTACTCTTCCTAGACTTCCTCTATCCTATTAGCGGTAGTAGCTCCTAAGGCTTCCCGCCTCTTCTATATCGTAGTATCTACGCGGCTTTTAAAACTATAGTTACGTATCTTCTTTTCTATAACCTTTATAATATCTTCGCGGCCACGCTAAGTATAAGGGCGTATATCCGGCCTTATGTACTAATAGGCGGCGGTGGTATAGGTATTCTTATATATTTTATAGGGCCTCCTTATTACGGGAGGGATAGCCTTTACGGATATATTTCTATAAGGACGCTTCTTATTATCTTTATTATTAGTAGTATCCTTAGTATCGGGGAGGTTCCCGAGGGTATTAAAGGTGCCTCTCCCGACTCTAGGCTTTATAGTAAAGGATTATAGACTCTTTATATTACTAAGAACCGCCCTTAGAGCCTTCATAAAATCGTCAATCGTTATTTTATTTTCCGTAATCTTATCGTAGTTATTTACTAAGTAATTATTACTCTATTCCTAGGCGATAGGTCTAATAGCTTTAAAGGCGTTTTCCGCCTAATAGTCCGCGCTTAATAGCTCTAAAACGCCTATATATTTATAGTATATTATCGCTATTTTCTAGCTTATAACCTACCCGTTTATATCCTTAGGTATAGCCTTTATAGGTATAGTGTATTATCGATATAGGATTAGGGCTTCCTTATAGAGGTTTATAGAGGTCGGTCCTATATACGCGTAAAGGAGAGTAATCTAGGCTTATAGGTTATTTACGTTATCGTTCTATAGTGATATAAGGAGGTTATATAATATAGTGTAAACGGTCCTTTCGATATATAAGTATACCTCGTTAAATTCTTTCTATTACGCGTTATAGTCTGCCTTTTCCTCGTAGTATACGCGGCGATCTTATAGGTAGCGCGTACGCCCTTTTTAGAGAGGTTATTAATAGACGTAGGCGTCCTTATCGGTGGTTTTTTCGTTTCGGCTATAGCCTTCCGGCGAGCGGCCGTGTTTTTCTTACCGGCGACTATAGTAGCCGTGGCCGCGGCCGTGCTAGCCGTGGTAGCGGCGGCGTCTATGGCGTTAGTGGCCTTATCGCCCTTTAGCGTGATAGTAGAAGACGGAGTAGCTATAGCCTCCTCTATCGCGTTAGGGTTAATAAGGGCTTTATATTTATAGATATTAGGTGGCGTAAGTATAGGGAGGAGGTAGGCGTTAGCCTCCTTATCGCTTAGCTTTAGATTAAGATAGTTATCCTAGTAGGAGGTAGATTTACCGCATATAGCGCGCTCCTACACTACCTAATCCCTTTAGTTAATAGGGGTAGTAGCGGCTACTTTCTATTCGCTGTTAGATACGTTAGAAGATATCTTTACGTACTTATCAGTTAGTTAATTAATTAATAGGTAGGTTAGTAGGTTAATTAATCGCTTAACTACTCTAATCAGGTTAATAGTAGTTATTTAAGAGTGCTTATATAAACGTGATTACTTTTATAGTAGAATAGGGGTAGCCTTATTAATATTTATCGTTTAGGCGTTATAAACCGGGCTTATAACTATCGTATATTAAAATAGCACTTAGATAATTAACTTAGTAGAGCAGAAATCTCGCGTATATGTATTATATTAAGTTATATCTATCTCAGTCTCTTATACCCTTAATTTAGGTGGTAAAGACTTTGTTATGGGTACTATGTTATTTGGATCCCATTCGTTCTTTTCCGGTATCCTCCCTTATTTTATCCTAATACCCGAGGTCCCTAAGATCCGAAGCCCTTAGTTAGGCATAGATTCCCTAGGGACTACGTCGTGGTCCGTGTGTCTATACGATAGTTATATCTATATAAGTCTCTTATACCCTTAATTTAGGTAGTAAAGACTCTATTATAGGTACTATATTATTTAGATCCTATCCGGTCTTTCTCGGTATCTGCCCTTATTATATCCTAATGCCCGAGGTCCCCGAGATCCGAAGCCCTTAGTTAGGTATGGATCCCCTAGGGACTATGTTATGGTCTTTGTGCCTATACGACAGTTACAGGCGTTATAAGCGTTATAGGCGTTATAGGCATAGGATTAATTTAGCCCTGCCGGCTTAGTTATTAGTTATAGCAGGTAGTAACACCTGTACTATAGTCGGATTATCCGGTTGATAATGTCAGAATATCCTTACCCTTGAGTTTTTACCTTATTAGGTTTTTTAGGCAGATTATTACGAAGGATTTCCTTTATTTAGTACTAAGTTATACTGTATTTAGCTTCTACTAGCCTTTAGCCTTTAGGGTGATAGGCGCCGCGCTATAGCTTTAGGCCTGCACGCGCGTGATAAATATAAAAAAACCCCCCGTATAAAAAATATATAGTTATAGGAGGCAAAATTAATGCCTGATAATCCTACGAATATCCACCTTCCGTGCCTAGACGCGTAATCGGCCGTTAGGTTATTCCACCCCGAGGGAGGTCTATACGACACCCGTTACGTAACCGTGAAAACTACGGTCTGTTTAACAACTTATGGCTTTATTATGGTATCCCGATTAATCCCATCCCCATAATTACTTGGCGTCGCGACACCCACCGCGTCGCGCGAATCTACCTACTTACTCCCGAGTCGTTTCGGTGGTCCCCTCCCGGGAATCATTTCAGGCACAGCTGCTGGGTTGACCAAACTTCGTCACTATTTTTGAACAGAATCCAGACGTCGTCACAATGGGCAAACTCATCCGTCTTGAGCTCTTCAGTATGTGTGGACATCGCTTGTGCTTCCCGCTTACCTTGGCCCCTGTCCGTTCTGGCCTCCGTCTATGCCGCGCATTCTCCTAACCGTGAATTTCGTGCTACAGACTTCAAGTCATATAAGGGCCATCATGTGCTACTGTTTGGGGACTCATATTTTACGTAAGTTAATATATCGATTCGACTCTTTCTTCTCTCCTGGGTGCTCGGGCGAGAGCATTGCTGATAAAGTCTCACTCTTAGATCTATTATCGGCCCCAATGGATCTGGCAAATCCAACTCGTGAGTTTTATCTCGTACATGCACTCCGTCACCCTCAGCGACCGTGTGCTGACCATTAACCATGAAACAGGATGGACGCGATATCTTTCGTCCTTGGCATCAAGTCATCACATCTCAGATCTGCACACCTCAAGGACCTTGTCTACCGCGGTCGCGTTCTTAAAACATCCAAGATCAATGACGACGGTTCTGCAGAAGCCCGCATAGCTGACAGTCAACCGGACGAAGACGCGTCCATGCGCAGAGCCTGGCGACATGACCCAAGGTCCGCTTGGGTAATGGCTGTGTACGAGGATGACGCCGGCGACGAGCAGAGATGGAAGCGCTCTATTACCAGCCAAGGTTCCAGCGAATACCGCATCAACGACCGTGTTGTGACCGCCCAGCAGTATAATGAGGCTCTGGAGGCGGAGAACATTCTGATCAAGGCCAGGAACTTTCTTGTATTCCAAGGCGACATAGAAGCCATTGCTGCACAATCCCCCCACGACCTAACCCGTTTGATCGAGCAGATCTCCGGGAGCCTGGAGTTCAAGGCTGAATACGAGAGGCTCCAAAGTGAGGTGGAACAGGCCGCTGAAAACCAGAGCTTTCAGCTGCATCGGCGTCGTGGTATAAATTCCGAAATTAAGCAATACCAAGAGCAGAAGCGGGAGGCGGAAAATTTCCAACAAAAGACTGACGAGCGGAGCTTGGCCATCGTCAACCATGCTCTTTGGAGACTATACCATCTTCAGAAAAGAATGGAAGAGTCGACAGCGAAGATTCAGGAACATGACGCAAACCTTCAGGAGTTTCGACGGAACATGGCCGTGTTTGAGAAGAGACTCGAGACAGCCCGATCGGAACAATCAGGCGCAGCCAGACATCTCGCCAGCATCGACAAGACGATTAAGGCCAAGGAGAAAAGCATCGCGGACATGGACAACGAGTTGATACCGATTAACGAGAAAGTAGTGCAGAGCACCCGCGATATCAACCATCTGCGCCAGCGACTGGATGCTACATGCAGGGAACGGGATGAACAGGCCAAAGCTCTGGAGAACGAATCAAAGAGGCTCAAGGCTGTCGAAAAGGCCGAGGCACTCAAGGAGATTGAATACAAGGAACGCATGCAGCAACAGGGCGTTAAACTCACCGAGTCCGACAGGAAAGAATACGCCAATCTACGCAAACAGGTCTTGTCCTTGACTATGGCTAATCAAGCCAAGCTTGACAATGTTTTGCGACAGCAGAAATCAGATGAGGTCACTGTCAACAGTCTCAGGGGCAAGGTCGACACCATCTCGGCGAACCTACATAAGTTGGCAAGCGAAATACATTCACTTTGTGGACGCAAAGAAGCTGTGGAGGCCATGGTGCAGAATCTGTCACGGGACATAGATACACGAAAGAAAGAAATTGGTCAGATTGGGTCTATACGACAGCGGACACACAATAAGCGCACGGAGCTGGAAGAGAAGCTTGAAAATGTCGCGAAGCAGTTGCGCGAAGCCGACGACGGCCGCCGCCAAAACGACCGAGAAGCGAAGGTGAAAGAGATGGTCAGCACCCTCAAACGAGTATACCCTGGTGTCAAAGGTCGTGTGGGTGACCTCTGCAAGCCTAAACAAAAGAAATTCGACGAGGCTATCATTGTCGCGCTTGGTCGGGACTTTGAGTCGGTTATAGTCGATACCGAAAAGACAGGTCTCGAATGTGTCCATTACCTGAAGGATCAACGGTTCCCGCCAATGACGTTCATCCCCTTGGACAATGTTAAGGTCAACTCTGTCAACAACGCTATCAAAGGAATCTCAGGAGCCCGTCTCACAATCGACACGATTGATTTCGATCCGTCGTATGAGCGAGCTATGGCGTACGCATGTGGTAGCTCGGTAGTTTGTGATACCCTTGACATTGCCAAACGCATCTGCTATGACAAGAAGATCCAGGTCAAGGCCGTAACTCTGGAGGGCTTTGTCATACACAAGGCCGGTTTGATGACGGGGGGAAGAGGTCCAGAAACCAAAGGTGGGAAACGTCGTTTCGAGGACGACGATATTCAGGCGTTGAAAAAGGTCGCCGCCAAGTACAAGAATGAAATCGAGAATCTACCGAAGCCCGACCGCCGCGCCGAGGAGACACTACGCATTGATCTTCAGGCTCTTGAATCGCAGCTTGTGTCAGCTAAGCGCGAGCTGTCACACCTTGAAAAGAACCTAAGCAGCAAGAGCAAGGAGCAAGACAACGAAGAAAGGCACTTGGCTGATTGGGCACTTAAATTAGCTCAGAAGAGCGAGGAGTTGGAGATGACACGAAACACACTCCGGGAATTCCGAGCTGCAATTTTTGAGGTTGAAGATAAAATCTTCTCAGGATTTTGTAGCAGGCTCGGACTGGCTAACATTCGCGCGTACGAAGCTGAGCACAAAGGCATACACTCTGAACTTGAAGAGGAGCGCAAGGCATTTGAAGTCCAGAAAGAGCGTCTCAAGAGTACTCTGCGGTGGGCAGAGTCCAGACACCGAGATCTTTGTGGCAGAGTGGCGACAATGGAGAAGAAATGCCAACATCTTGAACATGAATTGCAGCAGTATCGGCGAGAAAAGTCAGACATTGACATCGAATTGGGCCATGTGTCAAACGAGCTCGATGCACTTCGAGAAGGCCTCGGAGAGTCTCGAGAACATCTGGCACGGAAAAATCAGTTTGTTGTCGATGCCAAGGCGGAAGTCCAGAAACAAAACAAGGAGATCGAGGACAGGCAGAAGGAGGTTTCCAGACTGGAAGCAAAATTGCAGAAAAGCAGCGCTAGCAAGTTCGCATTGCTCAGAAAATGCAAGTTAGAGCAACTCCAGATTCCTCTCTTGACTGGGTCGCTAGACAAGCTCCCAAACGAAGACAATCTCCTGCGTCTGGACCCTGATGTGATGGATCTTGACAAGCAGGGCCAAAGAGAGGAGGTGGACGTCGCCGTCGACGATTACGGGATTGTCATTGACTTCGACAGTCTCGACGACGCGTTGAAACAGGTAATCACCCATGGGAAAGGGCCATTGTCGACTTCGGTCTGTTGCTGACATAGAGGGCAGTTGGATGATCCCAGTGTCGAGGAAGGTTTACAAAAGACCATTGCCGCCTTGACGGCGGAACTCGAGAAGCTCAACCCCAACATGCGGGCAATGGAAAGGCTCGAGAGCGTGGAGTTACGGCTGAAGAATACAGAGCAGGAGTTCGAAGACTCGAGAAAAGCTCTCAAGGACGCCAGAGATGCGTTTAATCAAGTCAAGGCTCAGCGGTTTGAGTTGTTTAACAAGGCATTCACCCATATTCAAGAACAAATCGCCCACGTCTACAAAGACCTCACTCGGTCAGACGCCTACCCGCTGGGCGGTCAAGCCTACCTCGACATAGAGGAAGACACGGACACACCTTATCTTTCGGGGATCAAGTATCATGCCATGCCACCACTCAAACGGTTCAGAGACATGGAACATCTCTCTGGTGGCGAGAAGACCATGGCCGCACTGGCACTCCTGTTTGCCATCCACAGTTACCAGCCTAGCCCTTTCTTTGTGCTTGATGAGGTAGACGCTGCCTTGGATAATGCTAACGTTGACAAGATAAAGAAGTATATCCGGGAGCACGCAGGTCCAGGCATGCAATTTGTCGTGATTAGTCTTAAGACTGGGCTATTTCAGGACAGCGAGAGCCTCGTGGGTGTCTATAGAGACCAGGAAGCTAATAGCTCAAGGACTTTAACGATGGATGTGAGTTGTACTGTCCTTCCTAATAAAGATATATACTAATCTTTATATTAGCTCCGAAAGTATAAGTAGTAGTTTTATATCTTTGTGATTAATAATAGGAATAATGAAGGAGGTTTTATAATTATCTACGGGAAGAATGAGGGCGTCTAGATATTCTACTATTAAACGAGTAAATATAAAGCTATAATAATACCTATTCCGTTACTTATTATTAAAGGGCCGAGATATTAGGATATTATATATAGATATCGTTATCGATATATAGGTCTATAATATATATCTTAGGCTATTCTAAGTACTATACTTATTTTATATATATTTATTAAGACGCTATATACTATATATATGCCTTCTACTATAAAGTAATAATACCCTTTAGACGTAGCCCCCTCCTTAGATTAGTTAGTATACTCCCTAAAAAGGGGTAGGCTAGGCTTTTAGTAAAGGGATTAAGGTCGGGTTCCTAGATCGTAATTATATTATACTTAGCGCGGTACTAAAGCGGGAACTCCCTTTACGCCTAACTCCTCCCTATACTCTATGAAAAGATATAAATACTTATTAGTTAAAGGGTTCGGGGGGCTTTTAGTATAACCGGGACCTATCTTAAGACTCCTACTACGGTATATTATTTATCCTACAGGGGATTATATATATATTTATTAAGCCTAGTATCGGAGAGCCCTTTTAGCCCTTAATCCTTTTTAGAAGACATCCTCTACACCTTTAAAGGCGTAGATCTTAGCTTAGCGATTAGGAGAAGCTAATTTAGGATAGGCTTTATAGGTGCCGCGGTTATACTGTTTCGGTTTAGCGGGTAAGGTTAAAGTATATTACTCGGTACTTATACGCCTCCGGAGCCTATTTTACTTCTATCTTTATAAGCCGGTATAAGTTATCGAATATATCACGGTCTCCGGAATAAATAGCGTAATAACGGGGCCGCCATAGTACTACAATAGTATACTATCCTAGGCCTTAAAGGTATACCGACTCTAGTTTAGCGTAGTAGCAGTATATCTTCTCTGCTACGGGGTACCCGCTTGTCCTATAGCCGAAATATAGGTATTTATAGAACTTTACGGGGCTAAGGTTAGGGGCATAGGGTTTATAGATATGACTACTACCTTTAAAAAGGAGGGTATTCCGTATTAGGCTTACTACCCCTTCCGGGGAAGCTAATATTACTAGTAACAGCGTAACCTTACTAGTACCGCGGCAGGGCTATTATATTTGCGCTTAGAGGATTTTAGCCTTAGAGTTTATACTTCGTAGGGATATAAATATATCTTCCTCGAATAGGGCTTTAAAGGCTTGGCGGGTAATAGCTTTAGTAAGCGTAGGGTAGGTTCTAGTAGCTAGTATAGCTCCTTTACCGAAGGCTTTCTTAATCTACTACTCCGCGTAGGTAGCCTATTATTCTACTCTTTTAGTAAAGTAAGGTAGATATCTCCACTAAGTAGCTTCCGCGCCGTTATAGTATCGTATCGAGTATCGTGGCGTTTATAGGTTAGATAGTCTTTTTCAGAGATTTAGCTTTAAAAGGCTAGTCCTCGGGGAGGCCTCTATATCGGATAATTTACTCCCCATAATACCTAATAAAGATTATTCTAAGGGGAGCCGGGTCCCGTAGTAGTAGTATTACCGTGGGGGCCCTAGTTATAATAGTAGCCTAGGTCTTCTTAGTTCTCCTAGTTCCGTTATAGAGCTTTTCTTAGATAATATAGCAGACGGTTATATATAGGCGTGCTAGTAGTAGCGTTATAGTAGTAGCGCTATAGTTATACCGTGGCGTGATTAGTTCCTTTACTAGCTCGATAACTTATTCGATCGTGTTCCTATTAGCTAATATATCCTAAATTACTGTCTTAACTTTAGCTATCCTCGAGTTAGGGGGGCTATAGTAATCCCCCTTTAGTTCTATATTAGTTCCGTGTAACGCCCTACCCTAAGGGGGAGGAAGAGCGCCTATTCTACGAAAAGTGGACCCGCTAAACCTTTTATATAGTTAAGGTCGGGATAATACCATCTATTGCGTTTTCCGGTTCTACTACAACGCTGACATTAAACGTCTTTATAATAGTATCCCGGGAGGGAGACAGTAATTATACTTGTTATCTCGGCGGTTTCGTCGATTTTACTCGTGTTACGCGCCCCTAGTCAATAGGCGTGTATCGTTAGTTATTATAGTGAAGAGATAGTTTTTAAGTAGAATAGAAGTAATAGTATAGTCGAAGTAAACCTAAACTAGTTATAGACCTCTTACTTCTATTCCACACTCTACGTCTTTTTTCGATAAATTAGGTAAGTAATAGGATTAATTCTAGCGCCGTGATTATAGTCAGGATTTATAGTAGTTATAAAATAATAACCGTTATAGAAATTAAGCTTAATAGTAAATGGGTAAGCTATTTTCCTTAACATTATATTTAGCGGAGCGCTACTAGTAGTTAACGCGTAATAGGCACTGCCGCAATTATGGGTGAGGTTAACGTGATAGTAAATACTATTATAAACGCCCTTATTCTATAGGCGACGAGTCGTAATTATATAACGGTAGTTATAAGCGTAGGTATTACTATAGTTAATTAGCTCTTTAATAGTATTGTAGCTCAAAGTAAAGAACTATATTAGTAGAAGTGACTACTTTATATCGGCATTATCGTGATAGTTACTTAGTAGTTAGATTAATAGACGCAGGCAGTTAGTATTATACGGTCGGAAAAAGGTAGGAGCGAAAAGAAGGTAGAAAGAGAAGTTAGTAGCTAGTAGGGGCTATTACGGGCTCTTATTAATTGAACTATAGTCTGATTAAGAGGTTACTATAGTCCGAATATATAGACTTTTTGTATTAAAGGAATAATAGAACCGCCTCTAAGGACGTAGGGAGACTAAGTAAAAGGTCTTGTGGCTATGGTCTTTTAGTAGCCCTGTAGTAGCCCCCGGCCTCCTACCTTACAAGCGGACTGCCTAGGCTACTAGCCTACTGCCTTTCCTATTAGCTACTAGCCTAAAGGTATAATTCAGATACGTAGATAAGACGAAGCGGGGCTATATCGGCAAGTAGCGGTATTACTCTATCTAGGAAAGTGTATAAAGGTCTTCCCCCGGGGTTTCTCCTTTATCGCTACTCAGGAAGGGCCGTATAGCCTAACTAGGCTCCTATAGATCAGATATAATAGCGGAGTAAGATAGATAATAATAACAATAATAATAATAATAGATCTTAATATTTAAAGTCTAATAGTCGGCGCCTATTCTTTAGGAGGAAAAATACGAGCTCGGAGTTATAGGGTTAGTAATATATTATTTTATATAGAATATAGTATTAGATATTATTAATAAAGGCTACTTAGAAACGGAAGAGAGAAAAAATAAAGAAGTAGTAAGGTTAAATTAAGCGAAAATGTATACTATTCTTCTCTAGAAGAGGTAATAAAGAAGAGAATAATATTTTAAGTAGCAATATATATAAACGACTAGTTATAGGTCGTGGCACGAAGTAAGGTCGTAATATTAGAAAAAGCGTAGTTAAAATCGTCACAAAATAGGTCAAAATTGATTAAGGCAATTATGTATAATTATAACTGTCTTAGACCGTTAGGGAAACGCTACCACCGTATTTTATATAGTGTAGATTCTGTAAGCGTCTACCCGGATTATACTCTTAGTAATTCAGCCTATTACGTAACCGAAAAGACTATAGTCTATTCGATACACCCCCTAATCGCCCTAAACGTTAGTTAGGCGATTAAAGCTATTCGTAATCGGCAGATAATCCAGCTATATAATCTGTTCGCTATAGCCGCCCTTAAATTCATTCTCTAGGTCCTCTAAATATTCTATCCGGACTTCGTCTAGCTATTTCTGCTATAACCGTTCCCGTATATCTATCACGCCTACCTAGGACCTGAATATCTTGGAATTCTCGCCGTATAACGCCTTCGTTAATCCGTCTACTACTATTTCCGCGCTCGTAATATACGTTACGAGTATTTACCCTTATTCCTTTACTTAACGTAACTAGTGGCCGTGGATATTAATATAGCGAAGGCGCGTTATTAATATACTTATCTTTTAATTAACTAATTGAATTATTTAGTTGTTATTATATAAGATCCTTAATTCCGGATCGTTAAATTCTACTCCTATACTAAGTAATAGGCGTTATATAAAGGTACCCTTTTTTACACCTTATACTAATGCTAATAGCTCTGCTTGCGTTATTAACGTTATAACCGTATCCTGCTTATTAGCGCGCCACGCGATTATACTGCTAAATAAGCGTATTACGTACGCTTAACTACTCTTTCGATCGAGGGTATTATCGGTAGATAAGGCGTTACTGTAGATTTTAATAGTATCACCACCCCTTAGTTCTAACGTAAACGATTAGCTATTAATTAGATAAAGGATTAAATAATCGGCGGCTTTATAGTAAATAGGCCCTGGATTAACGTTAAACCGGTATAGCCTAGATACTATAAACACGATATTAGGCCGCGATATCACTACTATATATAGTATAGATCCTATCTTCCGTTAATAGCTTTTAACGTCCGTTAAGGTCCCTACATAGGGCAGTAGTTCTACGATCTTAATTAGGTGCGTTAGGCGATAGTTACTGCTATACTTATTATTGCTATTTAGCTTTAATAGGCGTTCTAACTGAGTAACGTAGTCGCGTTATAATAGCTAGATTTTACGGGCGACGCGGTCGCGAATAACCTTAATACTAAAGAACCACTATAAAGGATCGCTACCTTATAGGTTATAATAGCGTTATAGGTTATTAACGGCCTACTCTATCTACGCCTTATATTATTTCTTATAAGTAATAACTATATCGTTAATATAGAAGAATAGGATTAAACCGCGGCGCAGAAAATAACACAGTTCTTACGGCACTATCTAGAAGCCGTCCGCTAAAAGGATAGCCGAAAAGTGCTTTTACTAAAGCAGTAAAGACTCCTTAAGTCTATATAACGCCTTTCTCAGGTATAAACGACTTGTAAGGGCTAAAAAGCCTGGCGGCGGGTATATAAAAATATTATAGGGGAGGGGCGCGTGTATAAACGCGTTTATAATATCGAATTATAATAGCGTAAGATTAAATTAGGCGGTAATAGCTCTTAACGCGCGGAAT